GAAAGAGGCAAAACCCGTCACTTGGTGCCACTATCAGAGGGAACAGGCAAAGGACTCTTCAGAAAAGTGCTATTTCAACAATCACTGTATCCTGCACAGCAATCCTGCAGCCCCAAGTGCAGGGCAGGGGGTGGGTGTCAATTGATGACTTTCAACAACATTCATTGGAAAAGAACATTGCAAACACTGAGTTAGAAGACAAGCCACAAGGCTGTTACAATTTCAGCACAAGACCAGGCAATTGCCCCTGCCTGGCACTAAAATCCCAAGCAGCTATGAGAAGATAAAGACAATCATACACGTACACGACTACACTGCATGTCTGCTATTCTGCCAAACAGCAGGACTCGTACTTTAATAGTGATACACTATTTCTTTTTTTTCCTTTAGGCATGCTTTTTAAACTTTTCCAAGCATGCCCTCTCATATTCTTGGGTTATTAAACATGCATCATTCATTTTATAGACCACGAACAAAGTTGCAGAAATGTATAATTCAAGGCTGAAGAAGATGCAGTACCAGAACCAGAAATACAAGGTGACTGGGCTGTTAGTGTAACTGCACCAGAACTCTGGAACTGCAGTGCTGCATAAGCTCCAGTTCCCTTCTTTTTCCTTGTGTCTGCACCTCTTACCCAGGTAATGAGGTAAGTGCTCTGATACAGCACCAGAACAGAACTCTTACCTCTGTAGTAACAGTCAGAGCATGCCACATTGACAAGTGGCCTAGGATTGTGTGTATTTTGGTCTATTTCCAGCAGACGTGGGATAGTGTCATTCTTTCCATTTTTTAAGTTCAATAGAGCTTTCATTAAGCAGGTCTTCCCAGTATTTGCATCTAGTAGAAAAAGAGAATTGAAGGGGCTGTGCATGTACTTCACACACATCGCTATTACTTGATTCAGAACTTAACTCTCACTGTAGGACCAAATAATTATTCTAAAGGCCTTTCTCAGTATTTTTAGTCTGCAGTAGAGGCAAAAGCTTTAAGACATATCTAGTTAATGGCATTCTCCATCCTCAGGTGCACATTAGGAAAATGAAAGTATGGACAGAGGGCTGACGAAAGCAAAGAACCAAGAGCAGGTTCCCCTGCTTCCCCCTTGCATTAAGAAGCGCTGCCTCTGCTAACCCTGTTTATGGAATACTGAGCAGGACTCTACCTGTGTATTCAGAATCCGTGAGAAATTTGGAGGTCCTCCTTAAATACTCAAGTAAACCATCCAGTGCCTCGGGGCTGCCCCTTGAGACTGCACTGAAGAGCCTGTCTCTGTCGAAGCGATTTGGGTCCTTTTGGCTATGGAAGAAATGTAAAGTGTTAAGAAGTTTTGGAGAGCAGAAGACAAGAGTCTGCAGTAAGTTCTAGTGGGATGGTGTTAGAAAGGAGGAAGGCAGAAAAGTTTGTCAGAAAAAACAAGCATTTTATTTTTAAGTCAAGGGAAAAATAGAGACAGTTATTTCCCAGAATTCTCTTAAGTGGCTGCTCTTTCCATCAGCTGGAGCTTTTCCCAGATCCAGTCTGATGTGCAACCCTGGAACACACCCAGAGCATAAAGACAGAGAAGCCCAAGATAGCTGCAGGACCAGAGTCAGTCCCATCACATGGTGTGAAACACTCTGTGAACTGGTTTACACCCCTCCGTGGCAAGTATAGGGCTCCATGCTAAGATGCTCTTACACCCAACTTGGCTTATTTAGTGTTAGTTCAGATTTACACAAAATACACCACAACACACACCCCACAAATACCTTCCAAGTGCAGAAGGAAAGGGCTAATATGTTCTCTTTCTTCTTTTAATTACCTCCCACCAGATGCCTGTAATACTTCTACATTGCCACTTTTAGTTTAGACTTGGTGAAGTCTATAGGCCCCCCGCAGCATAGCAGGAATTGCACCCTTGTCAAATACCCAACAGTTACTCACTTGCTAACAAGTCCTGGCCGATAGTTCAGATTAATCTTGACTTTAGGAGGAAAGTTACTGCTTTCTTTCTGATATGGTGTCTCCAAGGGGCGTTGTTCTCTCTTTCCAGGTGCTGATCTTTCTTCCTTTTTACTAGATGCAGGTCTATCTTCTGGGGTACTGTCATCTGTTTCTAGCAATCCCATCAACCTGTTCCTCTGACCTGGGCCTGGCTGCCCATTTGTGAAGTTATCCATTTCTAATAGAGATGTTCTTTCAGATCACCGAAGACGTTCCGGGCTGGGAGACCAAACCTTGCAAGGGAAAGGGAGAATTAACATCATTCGTTCACAAACCTAGAATGTGTTCAATGCAGCACAGAGAGGAAAGCATGCTTCCAGGTCCGGCGTTCCTACAGTCAACCAAGGGTCCCTTGAGAGACTCAGTAAACTCTCCACAGTGGGAGTATTTCAATAAATACAAGGCCTTAGATAGGGTACCACTGGAAAAGAAGTGCACAAACAGCTCATGAAATACAAGCAACTGGTCTGCAGAACATCTGAACCCCCTTTGTGAGATGACTTCACCTGTTGGCAGCAGCACAGGTTCCTTACTTAAAAGGCAAAGAAAGTGGATCTTTAGGAGACTACAGTCATTGTTCTTGTCTCAGTGCAGCCAACACAGGCTAGTCATCAAGTGGCTGAAAAGATAAGATTAACTATAGGCCTTCTTTACAAGAGAGTGGTGAGTTTGCCCATGTTCTCTGTTGGTAAGCATTACGCTGTTTCTACATGGAAAACATACGTGCAAATTATGTTCCCCTGAGGCATTCTTATGTTTCATCCTGGGGTAAAAGGAGTGGGATCTTCCCACTGTTTGGAGCTGTTGGCTATCCATGTGAGCACAAGCTTTGAACTTGAGCTGCACAGCACAGGCAGATGCACAGCCCAGCTGCCAGGTGAACACTCAAGAGCCCTCAGAGCCTGCACAGAGCACATATCTCCCAAAAGCAAAGCTGGATCTGGATCAGATGTACAGAAAGCATCAGTATTCATCAGAGCATCCAGCCAGCCCACTTTATTAAGTATGTCTTGCACTCCTTTTTTACTCTTTTGAGACATCTCCTCATGCATATCTGGATACATCTCAGATCCACACCCAATGCAAGCTATCTGTAGTCAGCATACGACTGCAGTTTCACACACAGTTTGTGAAGCAGCAAGGAAAAACATCCATGATTACCAACCTGAAGCAAAGCTTTCTTTAATAACTCCGTCTTATTCACATGTACTCCCTCCAAATAGTTAACAGGTTTTCTCTGAAGAGAAATTGCCTTTGCTGGGACTACAGCCAGACTCCATAGCCTATACCATCAAAGAAGTAAATTGACATATATAAGAAAGCATAAGCATTATGCCTTAGACTAAGATATGGAGAAACATAGTTCTAGGCAGCAAACAGCCACAAAACATCTTTATGCAGCTCACAGCAAGAAATCTAAGGGCTGATTTCAAGACAAACCGTTATGATAATTCAGCCATTCAGTTTAGTCTGCACTCTAATGACAAACATTCCTCTGCACACACAGGCATACACCCTGTAATACCTTTTCAGATTTATTTCCTCCCCAAAAACACTTACTAGTGTATTTGCTGATCCTTTAGAGAGCTATTTGTACTTCCATAATAGTTTGCTTGTGGTTTTCTGTCTTCCTTTCCCCAAAATCATTTCTCAGCTGCAGTTTCCATCTCTCCACAGCACTGGAGAGAGTTATTTATTGTCAGTCTTGTATAGGCAGACCGTCTGGTTTAAAAGCAAGAGCAAAATGGTCCTATAAAAAAGGACCCTATAATATATACATCCACTTTGTCTGTCCGTAGGAAACAGAGAGCACTCTCTGTTTGCCAGCCCAACTTTCACTTCTCTACTGAACAACTGAGTTGTTTCTTTCTGTTACTTTAGCAAGCCATTTTGAGTAGCGCAGCACAGAACAGCCCTGCTGTCAAAAGAGGAAGAGCACAGCACTTACTTACCCCAAGTTGCTGCAAGCTCCACCCAAGAACTGATCTGACAAGGAGTCCCAACGGATTCTTCAGAGGGTAAATAAACTCTCAGTAGAAACCAAGCCAAACACCAACAAGTGTTAATTAGCGTGAAAGCAGATCCCAAGTTATTTACATCCATGGGTAAGACTACTCCTCTGCAGAGAAGACCACGCTCATAATAACAGTCTGTGAATGGCGCAACGTTGTACTCCTAGTTGGTGGTGGTCCATGAGAGAATCCAAGCTGCCTGTGAGAAGGAATAACCACGGATTATTGTTATTTACTCAACTGTACAGCTTTTTGCCAAGCTAAGAAGAGCTTGCACAGGAAATGACTAGATAGATTTCTCAGTAAAAGAGAGAGCCAATGAGTGCAGTGCTCTTATATGGGAAAGCTGGCTGGCTATTGCAAATTCATAATGCTTAACCCCTGCCTGCACATATAGAGGCAACATCTTAGGCTTTCAACAACAGCCCACTCAGATCTCAAGGGAGGCAGCTGATTTCATCCTGACAGCGCTAGAGCCCGTGGTTTTGTTGTAAGGTTTGTCACAAGGCTCCTTCAGTTAGCCCCAGGACAAGCAAGTAAGCAGCAAAACGTCTGAGGTCAACTGTTTCTGTGGGAAGCCAGTTCTCCTTGCACAAACGTCACACAGCCCAGCTACAAGGCAGTGCAAATGATACAACACACTAGCCAGAACATTACCGTACAAAGTACAGTGTCAGCTACTCATCGCTGGAACGGGAAACTGCACAAAGCAGCCTCAGTTCCCAAACACTTGGGCCACTTAATTTGCCCTTAGTACTCATTTCCTTATGCAAAAGGAAATGAGTACTCCAAAGGAGTGAATGTCTTGGTGAGGCTACTTCTAGGAGCACTGACTGGTCATTCCTACAACTGCCTGTTGCTGAGACCGTGCATACACACCGATACCACTTCACTTACCACTCACAAGACAGGACCCCGGGAAACAGAGGACATCAGCCCACACCAAGTGTTTTAGTTTTTTCTCTCCACTCCTAACAGAGCTGAGGCCTGAGGAGGTCTCAGCATCAATGCAGATGACATTCAGCACCCACAGTCTCAATAGCCTTCCCGCAGAGTGGTTCTCATCTCTATAGAGGACTGATGGTTTACAAAGCCATTTATGTGATCTAGGGGTCATCTAGAGAATCTTATTAACTGCCAAAATGGTAAAGAGCTCTTCCAATCAACAGCTTGATAGCAGTGGCAGATTCCATAAGAAATCTCCAAACTTTAATTACCATTGGTCCAAAAACATTGAGAAGGGATGTCACATCATGACACACTGAACTCTGGCTGCTGCTTTCTTCTTCCAAACCTACCATGAACCAAAAGAGAGCCTAAAGCAATCCTTGTCTGACAGGACTGCAGGATGATGTGACACTTCCTGGAATGTGGTCCTTACCCACAGAAACATTCCCAGATGGCTTCTACTTTGAGTCAGATACAGGCTGTCAGAAGACCTTCCTATAAATACACCCATTAAATGGCAGGATGCCTTTTCCTCTTTCATGGTTTTGCATGACATCACAAGCTTATTTCTCAGATTCCCGTGTTTTAAAATTAAGCTGATCCAGGAACCCCACAAAGCTACTTAATCTTTCCAGGTTTAATAATGTATTAGGACCCACAGAATAACCTATAAAGAACAAATATAGGCAGATAAATGCAAGGTCAGATCTCATCTCTCCTATCTCTCATTCCAGCTTTGTATTGACTTAGTTCAGTTTGCTTTAGCCGCATTACACTTAATTTACTGTGATAACAACAGACATAGATTCAGACCCCGGAGTTTAGCTCAGACTTAAGTGTTTAAATCCTCTTGGGCTTTTCCCCCAGCTTTCATGGGAGACAGCCCACTATTCCAGCCAAGGAATGAAATCAGCTCACAAAAGTTCATCATAACAGAGTTCTTTCTGCGCATCTGGTTTTAATAGCTTACACAGAGGAAGGAGAATGTGCAGCTTGCTGGGAAAGGAATCACTGCCAGCTGAGGGGTCACCACAGCAAAACAAAACCATGGAGCTGCTGGGGAACACAGAAACACTGGTAAGCACACACACACGCACACATGCTTCTGCAGAGTACACTAGGCTAAAACACTTGCACTCCCATTTCAGAGCAAGGCAGGGGAAAAAATACAAGATCTGCCCAAACATGCACTTGCCAGCGACAGCATTCTGAGGTCTGTCATGGGATGACGACACTGCTGCGCGCCAGCCAGCTGAGCTGGTTGGGATGCTTAACAAGCATCTTGCCACCAAAACTTAAAATCCTGACAGCTGTTGGGACTCAGGAGGGAGCAGTCCGAAGCAGCATGCAGGGAGAATAAAAGCAGCAAATTCATTTCACCTGTCTGCCATCCTGAAGCTTTGAAAGTACCATGTGATCCTCTTGCCTTTCGAGGCTTTTATTTGGGGCAACAAGAAGGAATGCTGCACTTGCTCAGTACTTATTTTACTGATGTAAATGTGTCTGATGGTGCTAAGTTTCTCCTGACAGGAGACACACATTCTGTGGAAACCTTAAATCTGGGAAAAGAGAAGTCAAACTCTTAACTACTAAGCGAAACTTTAAGTCAAATCAATAAATTCCATTTTATAATGCTATAAAATCGATTACTGATACAATTATAGATGATATATGATGAAGCACAGTAATTCATGGCAGGAAAAGTGATGACCAGAACCTGCTTAAGCTGAAATCAAAAGGAAGCACGAGGAAGATGGTGTTGTGAAAAGACGGAACAAGCACATACGTATTCTCTGTTCACTTAAGTGCTCATTTTAACCAAATACTAAAAAACGTATTTTATGATTAATATCCTGCTTTCTGTATGCTGTAAATAGAAGAACAAAGTCACTTACATGCGCCTGTAATTTAGTTACAGCATTCATCTGTAGCCACTCTGAGGAGCAGCAGCTCAAACTTTTCTTCACAGGAGGAGGGAAGCCTGTAATATCAGCACGCAAGGGTGGACCATTCAAATTCTCTCCAAATCAACAGGTAGGGCAGTGCTTCACTCAAACCTCATGAAAGCCATACGGTTAATTAAAAAAAAAGTTTGTTTTAAAGTTGTACTTTCACACCTGGGAAAATACAAAGAGTCTTTTTTTATGCAAGTCGTGTAAGCCCCATACTGAAGGGATGACTTTTAGCAGCTCTGGTCATTACAGTTACACAGATGGAAACGTGTATCTTTAGAGACACCAGCCAGTGCCCAAGCAAATCCAAATATTCTTAAATATAATTCCTTGTCAGAACCTGTCTGATATCCCTGGAGACTGAGTTAATTTACATGACAGTATTTCTGTAAATGCTAGCCTTACATCGTAAGATTTAAAGGCTTCCATCTATATATACTTCTCAGGCCTTTGAAGGAAACATCCACTTCTCTTATTCCTTACATGGAAATATCTTTCTACTTGATGTATCCCTTTCTGTAGGATTACAGCCTGAAGGAATGCTCCACTGACAATCAAATAACAGCCAAATAGGAAACCCCAGGGTGATTACAAAACACTTCTGTGGAGAGACAGTGACATCCAGTGGCCACCAAGGAAACCTGAATCCCTGCTGCTTATGAAAACAGCCTCGGCAGGAAATTCTTCAGAAATAGCAGAGTTGCAATCACATACTTGTGAGAACTGCAGCCATTCACTTCTTGTATCAAACGAGTTAACAGAAACTTGTCTAATTTAAAACCACAAGTTCCAAATGAGGCTGGTTTGGATGATGCAGCAACATTCCATAAATACAAAATTGTGCAGCCAAGGATCTTAGGACACAGCTGCTACACAATGCTTTTCGAGCTGCAGACAAGACTGAAAACATACTGAGGTATTCCCAATGTTTATCTGCCTTAATCCCCACTTCTCCTATAGGATTACTTTTTGGGGCAGTTGCTAACACAGCAAAACACTAAACATATCCAAATACCACTGTCACAGGGTTATCTCAGTTGTCTTCTTAGAAGTATCTTTTTAAAAGCACAGAAAACAAATCCTTTGAAATCTTGGGATTTTTTTTTTTTTGTTGTTGTTTAAGAGAGAACAGACTAGAAATTAAATGAAGCTGTAAGAAAAAACCCCAAAGACCAGTCACAAAGTTCACCTTGCAGCAGGATTAGGTGTTAGCAGAACCTGTTGTCAGTGTGGGAGCATTAGGATTATTCTATTTTAACAGCACACAGATTCCAGCTAAAGCCTATCAAGTTCTTTAGTTATGAATAGTCGGCTCTAAGAAGATTGAATTGAGGTTCCACCACAGTTCTATCTTAACAGCAGTCACTCATACTGCCTTATACCTCTTCCTGTGTCTTTTGTTCCCGTCTTCTTCAGTGCAAACAATGCATGTTATGCACATTCATATTTACATTTTCTTGTCATTTATATAATTTCCCTAATTCACATCATTTAAGATAAATTGCAAAGAATTTTCTTCACTAATGACAAAATCCCTTGCAGCCATTCCTCCATTAGCTGGGGGATCAGAAGCCTGGGTAACACACGGAGCAGCAGAGCTCAAGTTCACAGTGAGTCTGGCTCCACACTTCACCCAGGTAGTGGTGCAACACTACAGCTCTGGGGATTTCACTCCTTGTGGTTTAGCTTTAAGGATATGCAGTTATGTGGCACTTTTAGTAAGCCAAATACTAATTTCAGCACAAGCTTCACCTAAGGAAATCTTTCTACAGGGCTGGGGAAACCAGCACACAGGCACATCCAGTTTCACCCAACCAGCCAGAGCTCCTGCTGGCAACCTGCCACTTACAGACCTGTATCTGAAATGGGGTAAACTGTACCTGCAGCCTGTGTTATCCAACCAGTCAGCATCCGTTACCACACAGATTAGCTTAATTATTACAGCTTGGAAAAGGACATCTGTTAATTATAAGCCAGAGAAGATAAAGCAGCTAGTTGTACCATGGAGCAAACCAGCAGCAGAAAAAGTAATGTAAATTTATGCAGTGCTCTATCTCCCCTGGACAGGGAGTTCATGCACTGCTGAGCAGACAGCTGGGCTATCAAGACACCCAGAGAGAAGTGGGGAACTGACAGGGACCTCTGGAGGACATCTCAGCCAGCCCCCCTACTCAACCAAGGCCCCCTAGAGCTGGCCGCCCAGAACCACATCCAGCCGGCCTGTGAGGATCTCCAAGCAAGGAGTCTCCACAGTCTCCCTGGGCAACCTGCCTAGGCAGCTGGAGTGGAAAAAGCAGGAGCTCGCTGAGTACCTGAACCGCAAAAAGCATGAAATAAGAAAGGCAAAAGCAGTAATTACAGGAACACTCAATCTAAGGAAGGTATCTCTTATGGTAGACAGAGCAATTGCTCACAGAAATGCGTCAGGTTTCTGTTAGCACAGCCAGGTATAGCAGACAGGAAGCAAGCCCTGCTGCTGAGAAAAAAAAAAAAATGTATCTAACCATTAAATCACAATGAGCTTTAGTTACAATGTGCAGCCTTCTGAAAATGAGCAGTGTAACTTTTTAGCTAGGATTGAATCCATGCCAAGAGCACACTGGTAATGAGTGCCTTACTTAACACAGACACTGTGATGCTACACTGAAAGCTGAAATTTCAGAGGAACAAACTTTCACAGCAACACTACAATGGACCAAAAAAAAAAAAAAACAACCCAACAAAAAACCAAACCACCAAAACCCCAACCCCACCAAGATAATGCATAACACAGGGTTATCGGTAAAAAGCGAAGTGCACCAGCACAGAAATGCTGTGCACACAGCATATGGATGCCAGGATTCCCACTGCAAGGTAAGCAGCTGTCAAAATTCAACAGATGAAGACAAGCAGCCACCATGGGTACAACCTGGTTACACTCAAGTGAATGGGCACACAGGTTATCAGACCCACCACCACTCAGTTGAACTAAACCATTTAACCCCACCCCATTAAAACAGAACAAAGCCAACCCAGACTTCAGTGAGAATTTCCCAGCTTTTGGCGTTAAATGGCTGTGTAGAAAACTTGTACCTAACCCAAACCAGGAAGCTGCTACCCTGTTCAGTCATGTATTGTTTTTCATTTCAGGCACTTCTCTAGAGCCAGTGCATGCAGACACCCTCCCACCTGCCCAACTCCTGCCCCACCAGCCACTCTGACTGCAGTTAGTACTTCCCCAGATCACACATTCCACACAGACCAGCCAGAGCTACCCCCCACATCCCATTTTGCACCTTGAAGAGGCTGCCACGGCAATACACATTAGTTTTCCCCCTTAAAATACAAAACTACTTGTATTTGCTCATTTACACCCCACCTCCCCAAGCATACTGAAGCTTAACTGACTCCATGGAAATGTCAGGCAGTGCAACTGCTCACACTCACCAGCAAAGTCAATTTAAAAACACACTGCAAGCTCACAAGTCGCAGCAAAGCCCACCCACTGTACTGATAAGCTCACCCCTGTATTTGGTGTATGGCTTTCCGAGTCTTCTAACAGATTATCCTTCCTGGAAATAAACTACAGTAAGAAGCAACAACATTTTATTAGTGCTTGAATTAAGACTTTAATCCAGATCTGTTTCATCCACATGGGCCTCATTAAGCATGCAAAGAGGCTTTAACTGCAATGGAAGAAAGCCAGGGTAAGCATGTCACTTAAATACACCAGTTTTACTAGCTTGAACTGAGACAGACAAGTTGTAATGTGCAACAGAAAACTTTATTAGCATTTCAGTTGTTCAGCAGTTATTTCAGCTTGCTTTAACCCTGCATTTAACTTAAGACATCACAGAACTACAGTGCAAACACAAGTGCTATTGGCAATCCCATTATTAAGCAAGGTGCACAGTAACTTAACAGCCACCCCTCAGGCGCAGCACAAGATGGAGGGTGGATTCCTTCTGGATGTTGTAGTCGGACAGGGTACGACCATCCTCCAGCTGCTTGCCAGCAAAGATCAGCCTCTGCTGGTCAGGGGGAATGCCTTCTTTGTCCTGGATCTTGGCCTTCACATTCTCAATGGTGTCACTGGGCTCAACCTCAAGAGTGATGGTCTTGCCAGTCAGGGTCTTCACGAAGATCTGCATGCCACCTCTGAGACGCAGCACAAGATGGAGGGTGGATTCCTTCTGGATGTTGTAGTCAGACAGGGTGCGACCATCTTCAAGCTGTTTACCAGCGAAGATCAGCCTCTGCTGGTCAGGGGGAATGCCTTCTTTGTCCTGGATTTTTGCCTTCACATTCTCAATGGTGTCACTGGGCTCAACCTCAAGAGTGATGGTCTTACCAGTCAGGGTCTTCACAAAGATCTGCATGCCACCTCTCAGACGCAGCACGAGATGAAGGGTGGATTCCTTCTGGATGTTGTAGTCAGACAGGGTGCGTCCATCTTCCAGCTGCTTGCCAGCAAAGATCAGCCTCTGCTGGTCAGGGGGAATGCCTTCTTTGTCCTGGATCTTGGCCTTCACATTCTCAATGGTGTCACTGGGCTCAACCTCAAGAGTGATGGTCTTGCCAGTCAGGGTCTTCACGAAGATCTGCATGCCACCTCTGAGACGCAGCACAAGATGGAGGGTGGATTCCTTCTGGATGTTGTAGTCAGACAGGGTGCGACCATCTTCAAGCTGTTTACCAGCGAAGATCAGCCTCTGCTGGTCAGGGGGAATGCCTTCTTTGTCCTGGATTTTTGCCTTCACATTTTCAATGGTGTCACTGGGCTCAACCTCAAGGGTGATGGTCTTGCCAGTCAGGGTCTTCACAAAGATCTGCATGTTGAACTGCAAAACAAGTTTCAGCTTTAGCTATCGAAATACAGTCTTCAATTACTTCTAAGTAAAGGGTTTATTGCTGTTTCACACAGTACCCAAACCAGTTAGGATTTTTCTGGGTGTTTTTTGCCATTTTGGTTTCTTTCGTTAGTGCTTTCTACAACCATTCCCCAACTCTTCCCTTTTTAACGATCTAAATCCCTTTCCAAGGCCCCGCACACTACACTCCGCTACACCAGCCTCCTTCCATCGCCTCTCGGACCCCCCTT